GACGTTGGCTTATGGGTGTCAACGGGCCTTGTAGTAGCCTCGGATCGAATCATGCCTTGAGAGTGTGCATCAGTTTGAGGTTAGTTAAATGAGGGTCTTTTCACCCGATGCTCCCTAGACTGAAGCCTATGCTATCTCTCAGGGGATCCTTCATATCAAGCGCGTGGCATGTAACTTCGGCCTAACGCCTCACTGGGATCTTTGATCTACTGGGCCCCGTTCTGACTTATTGTTGACCGTCCTGCCTACGTGGCCTTGAGTCTTTAGACCTCTGAATTGAGGGATAACACCTACCATCATAATATTATTTGATAGGTTAAATAATTAAAGTTAAGGAAAAATTGGTTTATTATTACATTTTTCTTAAGTTTATTTATTACCATGTCAAATAAATCTTGTATGATATGATTAAATTTTTACCTGTTTTTCATTGGGAAATTATAAAAAATTAGGAGTTTAAAGTTTACTTTTTAAAAATCAGGTGCAAAGTTTGTTTAATCAAAAATCAGGTAATATATTAAGACATAACCCTAATTCCAAACAAAACCTAAATCATTTCTATTATATTCCTCCTCTACATTCTCGTCTCCCTCTCTACGCTCTTCCTCACCGTCGCCACGCCTCTACCTCCGCCTCCCTCCCTCCTCCCTCAACAGATAATCGCTGCTGGGGATTCGCTGCTGCTGAGAACCCAGCAACGATTTCGCTGCTGCTGAATGATTTCACTGCCAACGAAATAGCTGCAAGGTTCCTAGCAGCAGCGAATCGCTGCTGTTTTCTTCCCTTTTTTTTTTTAATTTTTTGGGTGGTGTGGTGATGACGATTAAGTGGTGGAGGTGTGCGGTGCGTGGTGGTGCGGTGAATGGTGTGCTGATGTGTACAGTGGATGTGGTGGTGTGAGTTGTGCGGTGGTGGTGGCGGTGGTGGTCGTGTGGCGGTGGCGATTTTGTGGCGGCGACGATGACGTTGGTGGTTATTGTTGGTGGTGTGTGACCAAGTATTTGGTTATCTGTGACCAAATATTTAATCTGTGACCTAAAATTTTTGACAATGTGACTGAAAAATAATCTGTG